TTGTACCTACTTCACAGAGTTGGTTTAAGGCTCAACTAAGGCATTGTATGCAAAGAGCATCGTGCCACGACATAGCAAGGGATCAATAATGGGTAGCTAGCGTTATTAATTTATCAACCATTCCATTTATTTCTACAGCAAAACATTATTGTTGGGTTAGTATTTGTCAGCGACTCCCAGGTTTCCTACCAGTGTCTTCAGTACCTTGGATGCTGAGTCCCCTGGCTTGCACTTACACACGAGACACTGAATCATCAGAGTAACACTAATAGCTGTGGTGTCCCGAGTCCCTGTTCGGGTGTCAGGCACTCTGCTAGGTGCTTCGTTACTATGTTGCCTTTAATCTTTATCCCCGTTTTATAGAAGTGAGAGTAGAAGTGCAGAGTTTATGAAACTTGTCCAGGGTCACATGTAGAGTGTCAAGGCTGGGATTTAAATTATCTGCTTTTTGGGCTTTTTTCTGATCCATACTGACTCTTGTTACCGTCGCCCTAGACCCATTACATCATCCCAAATTGAACTTGGCTTCCTCGAAGGGCATTGCCTTTCAACTTCAATCAAGGGTGCCACCATTCTACTTGTCACCCACATCTGAAAGGCTGGGAACCTCCCCCTTGTCCATCCAACCTCTCCGTCAGGTTAGTCAGTAAGACTTTTAGTTCAGATTCACCTTTTCCTCTCTGAGCCCTCCTACCTGGCCAGCCCCCAAACCCCCACATTGACTTAGGTTGGACTTGTTTTCAGCATTTGTTCCGCTGCCCTACCTGTGAGAGGTGAGCTTTACACAATACTTGGACGGACGTCATTAGATTTTGGTAAAACATTCTTAAATTTTCCAAGTAAAGCACAATAATTTGTTCTTGCTGTGGCTGTTTGTGGGTGGTAGAAGTTCAGAAGGGTCTAACTTCAAGGGTACGGAAGATAAGCTGCTGTGATTATAACTAACTTTCCTTTCCCCAGGGAAAGTGTACTGGGAGGGAACTACTCCATTCTGTTTTTAAAAGTAAAGCCTTTTTCTTTAACAAACGGGACAATTGGATAGTCATATGCCAACCAATGAGGTTGAACACCCTCTTGTGATACACAAAAATGAACTAAGAATGGATTAGTGACCTCGTTATAAGAGCTGAACCCGTAAAACTAGTAAAAGAAAACATAGAGGCAGATTTTCATGAACTTGGATTTGGCAATGGAATCCTTGATATTTCATCAAAAGCATGACCAACAAAATAAAAAACAGATAAAGTGGACTTCATCTAAGTTAAAAGCTTTTGTGCATCCAAGGACATTGTCACGTAGGTGAAAAGACAGCCTACAGAAAGGGGGAAAATATCTGCAAGTCATCTATTTGGTAAGGGTTTAGTGCATGGAATCTATAGAAAGAAGTCTTTTTTAAATTTTTTATTTATTTATTTGACAGAGAAAGAGATCACAAGTAGGCAGAGAGGCAGGCAGAGAGAGAGGGAAGCAGGCTCCCCGCCGAGCAGAGAGCCTGATGCAGGGGTTGATACCAGGACCCTGAGACCACGACTTGAGCCGTAGGCAGAGGCTTACCCCACTGAGCCACCCAGGCACCCCATAGAAAGAAGTCTTATAACTCAAAACAAAAAGAGGTTTCTCTTTTTTTCCTGCATTTTTAAGATAACATATAATGTGTTATTTGTTTCAGGGGTACAGGTGTGTGATTCATCAGTCTTACACAATGCACAGCGACCACCATAGCGCATACCCTCCCCAATGTCCATAATCTAGCCACTCCATCCCACCCCCCCCCAGCAACCCTCAGTTTGTCTCCTGAGATTAAGAGCAAAAAGACATTTCTTAAAAAGAGATACACAAATGGCAAACAAGCACATGGATATATGCCCAGCATCATTGGTCAGTAGGGAAATGCAAGTCAAAAAACCCCAGTGAGATACCACTCCACATCCTCTAGGATGGCTGTAATTTTTTTTTTTTAAAGTAAATAAAAGGGAAAATAAGTGTGTTGAGGATGTGGAGAAATTGGAACCCTCACCCACTGCTGGTGGGGATGTAAAATGGGGCGGCTGCTGTGGGAAGCAGCAAACATGGAATTACCATCACAACGTAGTGATTCCGCTCCTCAGTGCATATCCTCAAGGACGGAGAACAGGTCCGGAAACAAATAGTCAGACCTATGTGTGCATAGCGGCACTTCCTCACAGTAAGCAAAAGGCGGAAACAGCTCAAATGTCTGTCGTGGACAGATGGATAAACAAATTGTGGTATATGTGTACGAAGGAATATTACTCAACCATAGAAAGGCGTGCCGTGTGGCTACAAGCTATAATACAGAGGAACCTGGAGAACATTATGCTACGTGAAATTACCAGATGTGTCACCTGTCACCTGTCCATTTGTATAAAATAGCCACAATAGGTAAATCCATAGAGATAGGGAGCACATTGGTGGCTGCTGGGGGCTGGGGAGAGGAGAGAATGGGGAATGATGGCTGCCAGTATGGATTTCCTTTGGCGGGTGATGAAAAATGTTTTGGGACTAGATAGAAATCGAGAGACAGAGCCAGAATTACTAGCTGGCTTCTGACTACAGCCTCTCCCCTTTGTTGAGGTCAGAGCCCAAAGACCAGGGATTTCTAACTCCAATGCCATTGGGGGTCCAGCATGTGGGGAAACCTATTTGAAGTTGCTGGATTTAAGGCAGCAGAGACTGGTGGGGACTCGGTGGAACTGGGTGGGACCTACACTGCCTAAAGGCATTCATATTCTGGCAGATCTTTCCTGGGCTGATTCTTGCCCCATCTCTATCCTGCCGTCTCTCTTAAGCCATCCGACATCCTCTTCACGCCATTCATCGTCTAAAAATCCACTTCCTGTAACAGAACCTAGACGTCTTTGCTCCCCAGCCTAGAATCTGTGAAGCTTAGCAGGTTCCATATGTACCAGGAAACTGTTACCCTCCTCCCACTCACCCCGTCCCAGCACCTGGAGTTGGGGGGGGGGTGGCTGTTACAAGACCAGACCCCACTGGCTGGGTAAGCGGATGGGCTCACTCTGAATCTTTGGTTTCAGGGCAGCTTAGAAATGGTCCGTGGCTGGGGGCTGCCTCGTACAGGAAATGGTGAGTTTCGTTAGTGCCACTGGCCCAGCAGTTTGAGTGCATATTTGTTTGTTATCTCTGCTGGCAGAGATGGGGAGAGGGGCACAGAAGAATCTGGAGAGAGTTTTGTTATTTGATGAGATGGAGAAAATATTTTTTTTTAAAAATCTGTCCAAGCCTTTAGAGGTGTGGATCCATTCAGCTCAGAGTGGGGAGGAGTGTGTCCGGGGAGTCAGAGAGAGGGTGTGGAGGAAAGACACTGAGTCCATTAGACCTAGGGAGGGGCTGGCACGGTTTTCTCTGTGTTTCCAGCACTATAGCTCCTCGTCATCCCTCTCCACGGCTGGTTTTTTGAGAAGCACATAGGACACAGAGATCTGTGGCCCACATCCTTCCAATACGTAACGGTTCAGTGGACGTTTACAGGCTGGGGGCAGGAAGAGAAAAGTACAGCGTGTGGCTGACGGGAGGGACCTGCCTAAGGTCCTTGCCCTCAGAGTCACCTCCGAGCCCCTCCTTGGTACCCAGAGTGAGTACTACCATCACGGACCCTTTCTTTAGATAGCGAAAGAGTTTGAGCTGTCAGAGAATCTTAAATTGCAAAGACCTCTCAGAGAGGTAGAGGTAGAGCCTTCTTAAGAGCCCCTCAGTGGGAGTCTGTAGAGAACCAACCCAGGAAGGGTAACCCCGCCCAAGTAGGGCTCAGAACTCCTGTTTTCATTGTTTACCTAGACAGAATGGCTGGAGGAACTGAGTCAACCTTTTTTTAGTTGTTATTCTCTCTTCGATGGATTCCTTTCCCCACCCTCTCCACTTGGACTTGAACAGGAGGGCTGGGGAGAGGCTCCTTCCTTCTCTGAAATCCTGCGTAGAGAGCTCTGAATTCTGGGCCGTTCAGTGTCCGGCCCACAGGAGGCTGTGCTCACGTGGCGCCTTCAGAACCATCCTGCTTGTGGACATGGAGTTCTGGCTTCCACGCGGCCACTGCCCTCTCAGAGTTCCTTGGCTTAGCTTCCAGGACTTTAGTCAATTAGCGCTTTTGCTCTTTTTAGGAAGATTGGCCCCTGCAAGGGGACACATATCCCTGGACCCCTCTGGAGGTGGCTGCCTCAGCTACCATCCTAGGAGAGCCAAGATGGCTCCACACAGGGGTGCTTTGGTGTTAGAAGCCGGGGGACAGGCCCAGAGTGTAACTGGTTGGGCACATTAGTTCTTTCTTCCTGGGTCATATCTACAGAAAGCTTTATGGGTGTAAACATGTGTGTGCCCTTTGACTTCTGTAACTTGTCAGCCAGTTCTCAGTGCCTGCGGGTGAGTTCCCAGGTCAAGGGGAAGCCTCTGTGCCCCAAGACATGTTTTCTTACAGGCTTAAGTAAAGTAACTTATAGAGGTTCATGGAAACTGCCCAGACACAATCTGAAACCTTGGAAATTCACCATGCACCGCCATTCCTTATAGTCTGAGAGTGGTTATGGCCCGGGATGCCTGGGCAGACGAGAAGCCCAAGTAGGCTCTCCTCAGAAGGGTCGACTGTGACCTCGTGGCTCCTTCCATAGGGTGTGAATGGGCTGTACGCCGTGAGGGTAAAAAAGGGCTTTTGTGTCCGATTGCCTGCGTTTCGGTCCTGGCTTATTAGTTGGTATCTCAGTTTCCTCATCTTGTGGAAAGGATATGGCAATGGTACCTACCTCATAAGGTTGTTGTGAGCTAAAGATAATGCCTATGAAAGACTTGGCACAAAAATGGATGCATCGTAGGGGCATCTTACCAAAACCGGTGGTTCATACCATCACACTAGGGTAGCTGCCCAGGGAGCCTGGAGGAGAGGACGAGAGTCTGGCAGGAGGGCTCTGTATTCGCTGGTTTTCCTGTGATTGATGCAGATTTTCTGGTTTCTTCCATGTCTTTTTCTTGCCCAGTATTGATCCTCCAGAAGGTGGAGAATGGAGACCTGAGCAACAAGATTCTGAAGATCACTGACTTCGGCCTGGCTCGAGAGTGGCACCGAACCACAAAGATGAGCGCAGCGGGGACGTATGCTTGGATGGCACCCGAAGTCATTCGTGCCTCCATGTTTTCCAAAGGCAGTGACGTGTGGAGGTAAGATCCAGAGGCTCAGGGTCCGTGCTCCCCAGGTTTACTTTGGGTGCACACACGTTTTAGGACTTGGAGAACTGAGGATGCGTAGACTCCCAGGCACCCCAAATAGGTCTAAGTGACCCCTTCAGAGCAATCTCCAGGAATTCACAGGTTGCCATGGGACCGTTTCTAATGCCTTCACCTACCCAAAGTCCCTTTAGTGCTGTGGCAGGTACCACCTCTTGGTGATTGCTCTGTAGGAAAGACCAGTAGATCCCAGGGTCAGTGTGCACACCCATCTCTGATGGTAGGGTGGTGAGTGCACCCGCTCATTCCTGGGAACCTTCCCCAGGGTCATCCTGGCTGCCTTAGCACCTGTGGCTGTGTACTGCTGGACCTGTCCCCACTGCAAGCTCTTCTGCTAATGCGTATTCTTTGTGCGATCTCTTTTATTTTGGTGGGTTGGAAATTTCTAGTTGTCTGGTTAACCTTTTAGTCGGGGCTCTCTCGGTTGAACAGTGATACAGAAATGGGAGAAGATGGGTCTCAAGCAATTACCCAGAACTGCAGACTTACAGATTAGACCAACCCCCGCCCCCCCTCAGTAAATATCAGCCAATAGGTCATAAGGACACATGGGTCAAAAAAAATCTTGTCCTCAAATACAAACAAACAAACAAATAAATATTTTATATATAGGTCTTGTCCTTGCTGATGGGAAGATGAGCTTCTACAGAGCATGCATCTTCGTGGCTCTGAGACAGTAGCATCAGCACGATATACCTAAAGGAAGGACTATAGGTGACCATTGTACTTAGTCCATGAATTTGTTTCTTCCCAATGAGTTATAAAGTGAGCTTGTGTGTGTGTATGATGAATATGTGTATTATTTCTTTTAAGATTTTATTTATCTAAGAGAGAGAGAGAGAGAGAAAGCATGCACAAGAAGGGAGCAGAAGGGGAGGGGGGGGAAGGGGGAGAGAATCCCAAGTAGACTTTGCACTGAGCACGGAGCCCTGTAGGGGGCTCAGTCTCACGACCCTGAGATCGTGGCCTGAGCCAAAATCGAGAGTCGGATGTTTAACTGACTGAGCCCCCCAGGCGCCCTGAGTATGTGTATTTTAAATAACAGCTTTATTGAGATTGTATACACATATGACAGAGTTCACCCTTGAAAATGTGTAAGTCAATGCTTTTTAGTAAATTTACCAAATTTGTTCCAATGACCATTGTCTAATTGCTAGGGCCACTGTAACACATTACCACAGACCTGGTGGCTTTAAACCATAGACATGTGTAGTCTGGAGGCCAGAAGTCTGAAATCAGTATGAGCAGGGCTCCACTCCCTCCAGAGACTTTAGGGGAGATTCTGTTCCACATAAGGATTCTGGATATTAGGACATGGACCTACATTTTAGGGCTGCCATTCCAACTACTACAACTGCTACCTGTTTCTGCAATATTTTTATCGGAAACCCAGTGCCTATTAGTAATCATTCCTGAATCCTGCCTCCCCCTACCCCCAGCAACCACTAATTTACTTTCTTTCTCTATGGGTTTGCCTATTATAGACATTTCATATACATGGAATCATACAACATCTGGTCTTTGTGACTGGCTTTTTTAAATCACGTTTTCAAGGTTCAACCATGTTATAGCATGAGTCAGAACTTTGTTCCTGTTTGTAGTGGAATAATATTCCATTGTGTGGAAATTCATTTATCCGTTCATAAGTTGTTGGACTTTGGAAGTGTTTCCACGTTTTGGCAATTATGAATAAGGCTGTTGTGGACATTTTTGTACAAGCTTTTGTGTCAACACATTTTCATTTCCCTGGAGTGTATACCTAGGAGAGAATTTGCCAAGCCATATGGTAACTCTGTGTTTAACTTTTTGAGGAACCACCAAACTATTTTTTACCACAGCTATATCATTTTCCATTTTCATTAGCAATGTAGAAGGATTCCAATTTCTCTGCATCCTCTCAACACTTATTGTATGTCTTTTTAATTACCTCTTTGCTGTTACATATGAAGTGGTATCTCATTGTAGTTTTAGTTTTATTTCCCTAATGATTACTGATGTTGAACATCTTTTCATGGCTTGTTGGCCATTTGTATATCTTCTTGGTAAAGGTCTGTTGACATCCTTTACCGATTTTAAAATTGGGCTATTTGTCTTCTTATTTTTAAGTTGAAAGAGTTCTTTATATATCCTTAACACGTCTCTTATCAGATACATTGTCTGCAAATATTTTCTCCCTTTCTGTGGGTCTCTTTCTTTTTGCTTTCTTGATGGTGTTCTTTGAAATGCCAACATTTTAAATTTTGATGAGGTCCAATCTATCTGCTTTTTCTTCTGGTTGCTTGTGCTTTTGGTGTCATATTTAAAAAACCATGTCCAAGGTTATGAATATTTGTACCTATGTTATCTTCTAAGAGTTATAAAACTTAGCTTTTACATTTAGGTCTCTGTTCTATTTTGAGTTAATTTTTGTATGTGGTGTGAGGTAAGGGATTTAACTTCATTCTTTTGCCTGTGACTACAGTAGTCCCTCCTTATCAGTGATTTTGCTTTTTTATTGTTTCATTTACCCATGGTCACCTGTGGTCTGGAAGGTCAGATCTGTCATAAGAATACCTAACGCTGTATGACAATGCCTACGTCATTCACCTCACTTCATCTTAATCACGTCAGCTTTTTATCATCTCACATCACCACAAGAAGAAGGGTGAGGGCGCCTGGGTGGCTCAGTCAGTTAAGCGCCTGTGTCTGACCCAGGTCATGATCCCGGAGTCCTGGGATTGAGTCCCACATCGGGCTCCCTGCTTTAGTGAGGAATCTGCTTTTCCCTCGCCCTTCACGCTGCTTGTGCTCTCTCTGTCACTCTCCAATAAGTAAATAAAATCTTTGAAAAAAAAAGGCAAAACAAGAAGAAGGGTGAATATAGAACAATAAGATTTTGAGAGAGAGAGCATATTTATATAACTTTTATTATAGTATATTATTATAATTATTCCCTTTTATTAGTAGTTATTGTTCATTTCTTACTATGTTTAATTTATAAATTAAATTTTATCATAGGTATGTATGTATGTGTAGGAAAAAAATATATAGGGTTCTGTGCTACCTGCCGCTTCAGGCATCCAGTGAGGGTTTTGAAATGTATCTCCCATGGATAAGCGGGGACTCCTGTATCTAGTCTCATTTGTTGAAAAGGCCATTCTTCTAATTAAATTGTCACCCTTGTCAAAGAGTAATTTGCCATAAATGTAAGGGTCTTTTCTGGACTCAGTTATACTCTACTAGTTTATGTATCTATCCTTATGCCAGTACCACTGTTCTAATTACTGTAGCTTTGTAGTAAGTTCTAAAATTACAATGTAGAGAGTCCTCCAACTTTGTTGTTGTTCTTCAAGATGATTTTGGCCATTCTGGGTGCTTTGTATGTCCAAATGAATTTTAGGGGCATTTTGTTAATTTCTCCAAAATAAGCAGCTGAGATTTTGATAGGGATTGTGTTAAGTCTGTAGATCATTTTGGGGAGTATTGTTGTCTTAACAACAGTAAGTCTTCCAATTCATGAACATGGGATATTTTCCTGTTTATGTGGGCCTTTTCCAGTTTCTTTTAGTGATGTTTTATAGCTTCTGTATCCTACATCTTATTTTCCCACACATTCATTACAGGGTGAAGTAACTATTATGAAGAAAAGAGTTTTCTTTCCTTAAAGTATCTGACCAGATTTCATTAGGTTGAACTGTGTAGGGGTATTCCAGTATTTTTGACCTATAAAAACAGCAACTTCATAGGCTTCAGTCTAACGCTTTCATTACTTGTCTATAGGCTGATGAGAATAGTTAATATATTAATTAATCTCACCTATTATTACGAAGAGATCTATAGATGCGTTTCAGGTAGAAGTGTCTTTTTTTCTAAAGAGTCCAGACTGTAGATTAGCTGGGCCCTTGAGATCATTCAGAAACCCAGGTTCCTGAGTCCCCTGGGTGACTCAGTCTGTTAAGCATCTGACTCTTGGTTTTGGCTCGGGTCATGTTGTCAGGGTTGTGAGATCGAGCCTTTGTCAGGCTCTGCACTAAGCATGGAATCTAGTTAAGATTCTCTCTCTCCCTCTCTCTTTGCCCCTCCCCTGCTTATGCTCACTCTCGCTCCTTAAAAAAAGGAAAAGAAACCCAGGTTCTTTCTGGGTCCCTCAGTGTATTTTCTTGTCTGAACGGTTACATGTGAGTGACTTACTTCAGCGTTTATATTCTGCAGAAACAGAGAAAGAGCTTATTCACTGCAAGCAGCTTGGCTTTAATTTGGAGATAACCCGGAAATGGTGCACCTCTCTTCTATACACACCCCATTGCGAGCTCTTGGTTACGTGGGCACACCTGGCTCCCAGGGAGGGAGGCAAACAGGATAACTGTGTGTCCAGCTAAAACTCTTATTAAGGAAGAAGGGGAGAATGGATGTGGGGGATAGTCAGCCATTTGCCACACTCAGCTTCCAGGCTGCCTCATTTCCTGCAAGCAGCGATGTATGGGAACCCAATAGATGGGCCTTTAATCCCACCTTCCTTGAACCTACTTACCTAAGTGGTTCCAAATGATCTTGTACCTTTAGCAGAGGAAGTCTTGTGCCCGTTGCTGTAGGTACAACATGCATACACTGGTAACGATATTTACCACCTACACAAATGCTTACGAGCTAAATGCTGTGCCTCTTTAGTAATCTCACCAGAACCCCCAAAGTAGAGGATATTACTTCTCTTTTACAGATGAGGTGACAGAGGCTGAGATGGTTTAAGGGACTTTTTAGCCAGGTGGTGGAAGCAAAGCTATTATTAGAACTAGACATGTCTCTGGGTGCCTGCGTGGCTGAGTCAGTTAAGCATCTGCCCTCAACTCAAGTCATGATCCCAGGGTCCTGGGATCGAGCCTCGCATCAGGCTCTGGGCTCAGCAGGGAGTCTGCTTCTCCCTCTCCCTCTGCTGCTCCCCCTGCTTGTGGTCTCTC